GCTAACTCATCATTTACGAGTCCGTTAAAAGACGATTTTTTTTTAAACTCGTTTGGTGTGAAAATAGTAGGATTACCGAAACTAAAATTCTTTTAAATAAACATTAGGCCTAATGTTGAAATTTATTAAACACACACATTTATAATCATAAAAAGAGATAAATTACCTGATATAAATAAAATTGTGAGCATCAGAAACATCGAATACAGACGGAACATAGCTGATAATCTTGAACTTCGGCTTGGCCTAAGGCCCATTATTTTTGGTATTAACGAGGTAACTTTTGACGTACATAGGTTCTATATCTACAATGCCGTTATTCGTAAAAATATCTTTTTATAACGGTTTTGTACCACCAGATATATTACTAGTGTAAAAATCAATTATTACTACTTCCAGCTATTTAAAAATACAATAGAACAAAAGGTAACTTAAGTACAATGATAGGTCACTTCAATATACTTTAACACGACTTATATGTACAACACATACACACTAATCGCTGCAGCGGAGACAAAATGACACGATATAATTGACCAAATAAACGTTTATTAATCGTCATCATCTAGGCCTATTATTATATGCCGGTCGATATATATATACAAAAATATTTGTCGTAATAAAACTGTTGTTCTTTTTTACATTTACAGTAGGGTATTTGCATACGTGTTGTCCCTACAAAAGTATAAACAATGGAGTAAATGGTATAAAATATAATTGGAAACTTTTAAACCTGAACCCATTAATTCTAACAATAGTAATTCGAAATCTGAAATAGAGAATCACCATTAACATACTAAATAGGGCACTGTAATAAAATAATAGAGATTCTCTCCATTATCGAATTATTTTTGCGATGGTTCTGATGCATGTACGATAGCGATGCACATAATGACTTTGTCAAGCAATTGACATGTCGACAAGGACGCTGTCCCAGTGACGCATCCAACTGTCAGGTCAAAAAGAAGCACAACTCCAGTTTGAAAAAAAAAAATAAATAAACCAGCCATCACCAACATGTAATTAAAACACCAGCCATCACCAAAATTGCTGACTTTCATGCATTCTTGGTGTTTTGGTTTTGTGATTTTGCTACCTTTGTATTTTTGTACTATGATTTAGCTTTGATATAAAAATTATATAATCACTTTTATACTTAGTTATATTAGTATAAAGCTAGTAAAAAAAATTGCAATATAATGTATAAATAATAATAATAATAATAATAATAATAATAATAATAATACTAATAATAATAATAATAATAATAATAATAATACAATACATAATCTCAAAGAAATACATAGGTCTACATGCATTCTTTTTTAAATGTTTTAAATAATCCTTTTCATGAATTGTATTTTTTTTTAAATAATTTTTGTTTTGATTGTATTTTATAAATTGCTGTTAATTTTTGATTGAGTTTAACATATATTTAAAAAAAATTGAATGATTTTGAATGAAAGCAGAACCAGCGGTGAGTGAAACACTTATCCAACCAGAACCCAAGCTGAGACGTTCAGCTGGCGATTCTAAGAACTCACCGTCGCAGCCAAGCAGCAGAAAAAACCAATGGCCCTGAGTGCAACGCCATGGGGTACCACCTTCGGCCGCCTGCCATGGTCTAAACATGATCTGAACGACTATCGCAATAAGGATGATAATTTGTGCGTGAGGGTGTGGTGCTTCGTTGGAACCAAGTGGCAAACTATAGTCCTAATCCGTACACTAAAGTAGGGCCCTCACGGCCGGCGCTATTCTATGAAGAGAACGCAACGCCACGTTTTCAATGACGACCGTTCAGACTGCCACCGACATCGCGTCGTCTAGCGCTTACGTGGAGCTGAGTTGAATTCGGCGGTCGATGGTCGTACAACCGCCGTACGACGCATTGAGTGCCCGGCATTAAAATTCTCCACCGAGCAAAAACTATCAGAAATGAACGATTGATCTTCCACTGATTTTTTATTGGAGCAAGTTGAATAGCGAAGTGGTTAAGATGCTGACATTCTAATCTCAGGGTCCTGGGTTCAAATCCTGTGACAACAGGAATTTTTCTAAAGACCAAAAACAACTCCAGTCCCTAAGCCTCATACAGAGACTTGGTTTATAAAGCATCATTCCATCCTGTAAGTGGTGAGTGTACTTGCTGTTGGATGTGAGAGAAATTTAAATATAATAGATCAGGTTTAAATTTTTATTTGAACGAAAATGTAATGTTGATAAAATTCTTATATAAAGAAGATTGACTACATAGTCAATAAAATATTGATGATAGTAATGAACATTGTAGATAAAAATACTATAGGAAAATTAGTACAAATATAATTATGACTAATGACATACATATATATATATACATGTATATAGGCCTATATATGTGTGTGTGTGTGTATAAGTTATGTAAGCATTACACTATTTAATTAACAATCAAAGTTGGGAAAATATTGTGAATCCAAGACGAAAATCGCAGTTTGCAGGTTTGATTATCGTATGGGAATAACTTGATGTTGATGTGGCATGAACTTCGAAATATAGCATACGTTGCATATATTACACTTCCGTCTGAGCAAACCTGCACTGGTGTATCTGTCTCTTATACACATCTAGATGTGTATAAGAGACAAGGATGAGAATTTGACAACGGACTATTAAAAGGATTACAATGATTTACTAATACACTGTACTTTTGTTCATGCAAAAGGGAATACATGTTAAACGCGTGACTACGATCGATAAGAACTATACAAACTTTTTATATGTTTCACTGATTTGAATCTAGCTTGTAATGGAAATGGGTAGCTAAAGTTGTAGGCTAAATGCTAGGTCCATAAGTGCGATAAATTACGGTAGTCGGTACCGGACGCTATACTGTACAAACTTATTGTTATACCTCATGTACAAACTTTTATACCGCGCTTTGCTTGTTAAAATATTGATCCGATTGAGGGCGTAGTTTATTTTATACGGAAGGTCACGCGTATTTATAGTTATTCTTTTGGATTTACTGCGATTTACATGATTTAAAATAATTATATCGTAACATTTACGTATTTGGCGTATCGTTATTTTAGCCCCGTGACGTCACTACTCGAGGTAAACAATCGACGGTCACAAGCGGCTAAAATCTGGTTATAAAACTAGCTTTTTTCCTTAAATCCCACTTTTTGTACGCAACATCAAGATATGATCTTTCCAATCGGTTTGAGTTTCGTTGAGGTAGGAGTTTATACCATGGTTAAGGTGACTTTTGACTGGACTAGTGTACCTCTTCGGAGTAGGCCTACTCATTGCATTATACTGGATATATAGTAGTTTTATAGCATCAGCAATATGGCATGTTTTAGAAGTCCATCAGGTAAAAATAAAGATACACCTGGGCACTAGCCATGATATAACCTCAGCCTAACCATACCGGATAGGCCTAGCCCTACACAGACAGGCCTATTTGCACAGGCCTAAGAACAGCCATAGGCTCTGGCCCAGGCCTCGCGTAGGCGCGGCCTAGCCTAGCCAATGATGTCGATCAGAGATAGGCTTATAGACCTAGGGATATAGGCTCAGGTTTAGTTAGCATACATCCACCAATCAATACCTTGAATTTACGTACACGTCGGGACAATGTTTACAGGCGGATAAGCCTTTACATGCATCCATCTTGATTAAAGACAATCACTTTTCTCATGCCCAACTATGCTTAGAGGTCTAAACTGAATATTGCTGTACTTACAATAGGGTTGCCCAAAGCAACTGGGGACGAGAAAGTAGGGGACAGGGACGTCACTGTAAGGACCCGGCCGCCCCGTTTCGCCAATAATTTTGTTAAAATTTCTATGCAATATGTGCTATTCGCTTAATTATTCTGAAGCTGTTGTTCCCCCCACCCCCTACAAATTTGCTACAAAGACGTTCTTCAGAAAAATAATGGTAACCATAACATGGTAACAATAACATCAACAAACGATTGCCTCCTCAACTTCCCCATTCAACAATGTACATGATCGCCACACCTTTCCCGACTCATTCAACACAGTGCGGAGCACAGGTATATGATAGTATGTATGTATGTATGTATGGGTGTATGTATTTATTTATTTATTTCATATATATATATATATGTAAATATATATAAATATATATGGAAATAAATAAATACTTATATAAAAATATATACTATATATATACTGTCTCTTATACACATCTTGAGGGTGTGGTGCTTCGTTGGAACCAAGTGGCAAACTATAGTCCTAATC